TACGTAAAAAGCTTCACTTCAAATGCACGAAACTAGCGAAAGATATGTACAGCATAAAAATCTGCAGCTCATTGAGTGACTGTAGTTCGGGACGGGGCAGGGTTGACAAAGGAACATAGTGTTCTCACTCTCCCTTGAGTGTTATGGATTCAAGATTCTGCACCAGGGAAATGTGTGTCGGCGAACGATTGCTCGTCGTCGGCTGAATAATTAGCCGATTGCGGACTGCAGATTCAGCTCCAGTGTCCACAGCATGAGGCCTGGCAGGGTTCAAAGGCCACGGATGGCATTAGAATGAAAGAGGGATTTCACCCAGTCAGCTCCCAAAATTCGTGGAAGTTGTCCTGAATGTATAAGGCTAGTTATAACTCGCTTAAAGAAAGGATAGCTTTGCTGATTTTTAATACTGCTGGTTAGCTTATTCCAGATTGCTATGGTGTTTACTGAAAAAATGGCGGTCTCTAACTGTGCGTGCTATAGGAAAAAATAAAAAGACATCTCGAAGACTGGCGCGCCCAGAGTGGCCGAGCTGCCTCAGGGTGCTGAGGGGATTAAAGGTACGGCACTTTGAAAGTTTCAATCGTGAAAATAGTCCCTTCTGTAGCCTGTGAAAAATAAGTGATTGAAGTTAGTGAGCTCAGAACGTTGCTGGTAGGGCAGGTTACGGTATTCCGAAAAGAAAACTGTTTTAGTGAAGAAATGTCGGACCGATTCTATTTTTATCGTTCACTAGCATGCAGAAGGCTAACTAGGGGCGAACTGTATTCAAAACATTATGCGCTGTTGTACTTTAGCGGCGGATCGCGTGTAGGGTCCCAAGCCGTCAAATCCTGGATATGGAAATTTGTCACATAACTGAATTTAGAAGCAACAGACAATCCGGATTTTATCGTCTGGCCCACGGCGGTCCGTAGGATTCTTGCCTATACCTCATTTGTACTTGGACCCATGAAGATGCTTTACGGAAGTTATTTATGTTATTTAAGCAAACTTATGCATACCACCGTGACCTCCATTGATAGTTTATGCACTACTGGGAGGTATGTCTATGCCAGTATAATAATTAAAATTACCACAAATTAAGTAACTCCAGATGTACACTTCCTAAAGAAAAAATGAGGGTCACTTAACATAGAAGCGGAATAAAGTAAATTTTTACTGGGATTAGGTACGTCGACCTGTCCCACTTTTAGTCACTTCTTTTTTGTGAAACTCAGTCCAAAAATTGTTTTATTCATCCGAAAGACTAGTGCTTGTGTGGGCGCGGCTATCTCAACTTTAACTTGGGTTCGTTTCTTCGGCCAGCTAATAGGACATTTTTTGTAGTAGTAGTTCTGGTAGGTGTATTGTAATCCGTCGCTTTGACTTGACTTTGGCCATTAGCTTCGGCCCTTTGAGCCTTGCCGTGTGATGTGAATATAGAACATGTGATCGATTTTTAAATCTGAATAGAACAGCGAATTCTATTTATTCCGAATCGTCTGTGATATTTAAGCGATTGGCCTAGGTTGTTATAAAGCGATATGTGCTACGTAATCATGATCATTGTGCTGACATATGTTCCTTTTTTAAATAACAGTCGTTATTATTTACATCCCTTATCCCCAGTTGCTTACCGTGAAATCGTCCACCATCCAAATTCTTAGCGTAGTATGAAAAGAGTTTTATATTTATAAGCTAAAAAATAATGTGAAGTATATGGAAGAGATTTGCCCATCCCTAATGTATTCCCCAAAAATCCTGGACGATCTTATAGAGTGGCCGACTTTAGCCTTGACGTTGAAAGGTCATTTTTTGGGAGTTAATTACAGGATCCCTATGTACATTTTATGACTCCAGTCAGGTTTTCGCATTACTCACAGGGATTTGCACTTACAAGCTCTTATTTGTCAGCTGTGCTGCCGCTCAGCAAAATGAGCAAACGGACTCTCATCAGTGATGTCCCCCAGACTCCCGGAGGAGTTCATTTATGCTTTGGGGACGTTTCGGCCGATGAAATTGCCGTTGACGAGGAAATTTCTATCAAGTCATCCCTCTTCCGGACGTCTACTGAGCCGCATATGAAGACGCGCTCAAGTTCCAGGAAAAAGTCTTTGGTTACCCCTAAGACGAAAGAAAAGTTAGTTCAATTTCAACTCTTATTTCACTAGGTTTGTCGTACGGAAATCGACAGATCTTAGGAGGTTTAAAACTGTAGAAGATCGTGTGAACGCTCTAATATCAAGTCCGATGATTGAGGTTCGACGCCGCCCCTTGAGTCAATCTCAATCATTCACTTCAATGGAATGTAAGGAATAATTCTTTTTGTCTAAAAATACTCAGCGGATCAACCCCGAACTCCTATCCACGTACCCAGGAAAAATGACGGTATGGCAATAGCATCACGTCGTCTGTCCGCACTGATTCTTTCGAAACACGCACAATCCATGCCGTCACTAGTATCCGGAAGGGCCTCTGTTTGTCCTGGAGCCCTCAGTAGACGTAGGACGTCTGCACTTCATACAAACACTCCCGTTCGTCGTTCCGAATACTTCGGGTAAATATGTTTTTTGACCTGTTTTATGTCAATGGAATACCATCATTACTGCCAATACTTTCCTATTCTCATTTATCTTTAAGAATCGTTTTTTTCGAACTACCTCTGTAGTCTTACTTTGATGACCGTCTTGCCTATCATCTATCAATACTTTTTCGTTGAAAACCAATTATAAAACAACGATTCCAGGTCGTGAGCGCGTTCCATCCCACAGTAACACCAGAAGGAAATTTCTATACTTAAAGTAGGACCTACGAGTTTTTCGTATTCCTTACCCATCAGAAATAGTGAAAGTGCAGTAATTTAACCCTCCGTCGCGACTGCCACACAGGAAGTGCTGTTTGCCCTGCTTCTACCCACTGGAGATTGTTCATCTCCATCGCTGTACAGTCTAAGGACCCCCTAGTGACCTAGGTAATGTTTACCGAGGTATATCATGCACTTGATATTCTTGATGCGGTACCAAAAGGGCTAACAGGAAGATGCCTGACGATGATGGCTTCGCAATAAAAATTAACCAGTCTTCTTTGATTACGTGGTCTCTAAACCAGGTTTTGGGATACAGAGATCATACAGACGCATATACTTCACTAGTATTAAAGGCAGGTGAGAGATCGCAGCTTAAGCGTTACCATGAAATCAATATCGATATTACCACTGGTCTCCCCAGCCGTTCCCAATTGTAACTCGCACAGACACTGACCAGTGCAGTTTCCTGTTGAGGTATAGCTGCAGCAGACATCGACACCTTGAATATGGTCAGTTCTCTCAACAACTTATTACTGTTGCGTGGATTTTACCTGTTTGCTTGTTAGCCGGGATTTGACATGAATGATTATGCTGCATAGTGCTATATTAACCAATGATTGACTAAGTAAATGTTTTATTTGATGTCACCTAGAAATTTCGCTAAGACCGTGACCTCATAAAACATGTTTAATGACATGATATACTTTAAAAAAATCTAGTGCGTCTTACCAGATCATCTCGGTCTGTGTAGTAGGGACTGAAAGCGTGAATAGCCATCGAGCAGGAATACCTGAAAGCCAGCTACGTTGTGGGGGACCAGCTCGGAGGTGTCGCATGCGGATGGGGTGTTTAGCTTTGTCGGTCATTGCTTCCGGGCCTTCCGATTGTCGCGATTTGTCGTAACACCGGGTTTAGGCGGATGAAGGGTTGGGCCTATGAAAGATTTCACGGTGATTTGTTGTCATTATCAAATAATTTACACCCCTGTCACTATCTTGTGTCCACCACACGGTAAGTTACACAGTATACATAGTTCGCCATAGTCTAACCGTCATGAAGTCCTCTTAAGCTAATTACGTTACGGTACTGACGTGCTTTGCGTTAGTGCGGGTCCTGCCTCGATTTGCTATGATAACGGCTAAGGTAACTGAGAAAATCAACGAACATAATTACCTAAAGTTTGGTCTCTTGAGGTTTCTACCCGGTCGCGTTGGCTGCAGTGTCATTAGTTACCAGCTTATAGGGTCTTTTGTTAGGCCTAACGTAGCGACAGTGTGTGGAGGAAAGAAATCTGGGATCAAACAGGAGTGCGAGACCTTCGTTCAACTCTATAAAAACCCTTGGGGTCAATATTCGATCATACAAAACCCCGTATTCTATAGAAATCTTCCTTCAAAACAATGCTTTGCGTTTAGAGCATACCTATGCATGGGAGTGAAATGAAAATGCTGGCACTCTACTCAAAATCTGGTCCAGACAGCTTTTAAAATGCACAGCTATATATTTGTTCAGAAATATAACGGTTGTGGCGTCGCCTACCGGTCCAGAGGACCCAGTCATCTGTCGCACTGACTTGCAGGCAAATTTTCAAGGATTAATCTCGCCTCAACAGTGTCCGGAATGGCGGCGGACCAAAGTGGTATAATTAAGGCATGGGTGGGCCTTCTTAAAACCCGCTCCGGTTGCATCTCAGACCGTATGACCTTCGGTTGGGATGAGTGACGTGTTAGCAGATTCAATTGCGCTTGAGTCCTCGGCTGGCCGACCATTGTGGTAAGCGGTTGTTTACAGTATGTCGGATGTACACGGAATCGACTGAATCGGTACTACTGAATATCCTCATATCTGCGCATGACTTTTTGTGTAATCTTTATTATTGTCTATCTAAGAAAAAGTAATATTTCCTGGCACCGTTTCCATCACTGCTCTGTCAACTTGAGCAGTCATTGAACGTGATCACTTGCTTTCAACAATAACTGCCCGCTACTGTTGAAAATTGCAGTTGAAGGGGCCTCCTGACTGGCTCACGTATTGCAGATTACGCCTATTGCCTTTCAAGACATATAAGAAGAATCATAAACGTAACGAACTGTCTTGCACCTAACTACTTATCCCTAGTAGGTGATGAGTCGCATACTATAGTTGCTACCATTCTTAGTACCTTGTTTTGCTACTGGACAGAAAACGATCACAACAAATATTCGAAATCTTGGTTGCACACTTTGTGGTAGAGCGATGCAGCGGACCGCTTTTCAGGTTAAGATTTCAACTCGTTTGTCGGAAGCTCCCTCCATCCGGCCTTGGAATCACAAAAAACGCAAGGCCCTTAGGGTTACCGTGATCATCTCCTTACGAAGCGCGTCATTAATTAGGTGGAAATGGGCTTCTGTTCTTGCGAGCCACCATTTATGTTCTATGTATATCCTGCTATCCGGTATTCCGCAGATCTTATACTTCAATGGTGGGCTGTCATACAATGTGCTGACGCCATCCTTAACCGCAACGCAAAAATCGTATGTGTCGGCTGGTTAGTGTAAGTTAACTTTGGGGTGATACTAAGTTAGTTCCTGCCATCCCATCATTATTTCATGACAAACAAAAAAACGGGATCTTAAATTGTAGTGACTCATCAAGTTTGGATTTGTAAGGTTGCCAGGTAGTAGGATAATCTTGTCCTACTCTGAACTGAGTCGGACCACAATGACTCTTTTTTTATGTGGCTGTCGCTTATGGGAAATTAATAATTCACTCATTTGGTATGTTTGTAAAGATGTATGCCTCAGAGAGGGTGTGGTAAATGTAGACCTGGATTCAGCCCGAACGGGCATTGCGTCCATGGCTATGTCCGGTCATTTCGTCTCATTGTGAGGAATGGTGCGTGTGGGAAGAAAGGAAAAAGCAGCCCTTAGGTCGCTTCCATACATTTTCTTTGGCATCGATAGTCTTCGTCGCTCGCGCTTACCAAATTCATTAAGTTGGACAACGAGCCAGACTAGTGCCAGTTTTATGCAGTCAGTTTCTGGATTTCAGCCTCCGCTTTTAGCGTGCAAACAGTTATAGGCAGATAATACTCGGCAGTATTACTGTCAGCAGGATGTTGCTTCCTCATGTTCCTAAGTAGGTCGCATAGACATCTGCCGAAGTACTCAGTTCCTGGTATAGTTTAATTACTAAATATTATTGCGGAATCTAAGGCAGCATTGCATGACCTTTGTTATAGTGTTAAACTAAATGTGCTCCATTCTGTTTTGCAGGCCACATTTAAAGATACCGCACGACCAGCCGGTTATGCTGCTCAAATAATTCTGCGTTTGTATTGTGTAATTTTCGGTTTCAGTTCACGTTCGTTAGTCGCCCCAAGAACTCTTGAAAGTCCAGTCCAAGAAGCTGCCAACCTCGATGCAGAACCTGAGCCAATGGATGACTCCGAAAATATACCACCTGGAACTGAGACGGAGCCGGCCCCCGAAACAGTGCAGGCTGAACAGATGGAGCCGTCATCCATAGGAGAGTTTCGTGTTCTTGTTGACATGGAGGCCGCTAGACTGAAAGCTGCGAGGGCAGCGTGGGAGGATGTTGTTGAGGAGGAGGGTAGCGCTATACCTGATGTTGGCAAGTTATATACGTTTCTATGTCTACTTAATTACTTAATAGTACAAAAACTATTGCGGTAGAAATAACAGAGCTCTACCTTTCAGCCCTTGATAGCATTCGCGTTGCAGTGGGCAAGTGTGGCCTTTTGCTTGCCAAGAAGTTCCCTTTCTTCCACAACCTTATTGACATGGCGGATGCCAGTCCCAACTCGGCTACCGAAGAGTCAGCCCCCTCTGCCGACATCAACGATTTACTCGGTTATTGGACCACGATCGCCGCCGAGATTGAGCAAATTGACAGTGCATTCGAGCGCCTCCGAGTTTGGCGTGAGAATTCTAAGTGGGCACTGGAGTCGAGACCTAAGACACCGAGTCGGTATGAGGCAAAGAAAGAGACGACTAAGCCGTCTTCCCGCCTTCCCCGTGCCAAGGCGTTGAATCCCTCCGCCTTACCGAAGAACATCGTCAATAAAATCAAGGCTACTCCTAAATCCTCTAAGGTAGGCCATCAAGGGAAAGTTAGTCTTAACGTTTCCCCCATTATTTTTACTAGCGCCTCACCTGTACCAGGTAAATCCTTGATTTTTAAATGTGTTGTTCTTATGGAAATTTTGTGCGCTAATTATTATTAGGTTTACGGCTCCAAAAGCTGCCTGTTCTCTCTTTTTGTAATCAGCAGAAAATTAGTGAATTAGTGACCAAGTTCTCATGATCTTTGTTCTCCAGTCTCTTTACTATTTACAAAGAATTTATAATGGTTTAATTTTACATGCTTTTTGTCTTAGCGTCTTCTCCGCTCCGGTAAGAAAACGGCCTCGAAGATCCCCGCTCCGTCAGTACCCAAGAGGTCTACTTTCGCCGAATTTCGGGCTCAACTGAAGGCTAAGAGAGCAGAAACTTTCAAAACTCCAGAGGCGCCCAAGGTGGCAAAGACGACTAGTGAGTCCTATTACCTAGTTCTTTGCGCTTTTCGCAACTGCCAGGAAACACGTCTGGTCTTAAGGCTAGATGTATTGCACTTCTCGGCATCAGTATGCACAGTGAGATTTTTTTATCTTTCTATTCTTCACACTCGTGCGAACAAACTCGCGTCAGATATCACACTTAATTCAGCGAACCCCTATCAGTAACCCTAGAGATGTTTCGTACTTACTCTGAACAGACCAAAATGGG